GATTACAACCAATACAATAATGGGTATAAAAGATAGAAGCAAATTATAGTTATATATATATATATATATATATATATATATATATATATAGGGGAGCGTTCAAATAAAAACCACTTAATTTGTAAAAACCGTTCATAAGATTATTATGTTTTGTTTTTACAGAGAAAACAAACTATGAACTGTCTAAAACAAATCTAAATTTTTTGATAAGTCAAATAAAAAAATAACAAATCAATCAAACTCTTATGTACCTGGAATGATCATAATACTAGCTATTATTGTCCCACTTTGTGCAATCACATGTAGAAAAAAAAAATAGATTTCAAGGAGGTTTCTGGCCCATGAAAGATTACATGAGTATATCATGAATTAATATAAGTAAATTGCAAAAATATTCAATAATTATATTAAAGTAGGTAACAACACAATGTTTGCTTAGTGAATATAAATATTTTATGAAAATATATGTAGGAGATAAATTGATATGTATTATGATAAAACAATTCTCATAACACACCTCATGATTATAATCATTTTTTTCACATATTTTTTTTTTTATGATTTTGGACCAATTACAAAGTTTGATATGATAAAAGATTGATATATAAAACTTATTATATATATATATATATATATATATATTTCTTAAAACAACCAATAATGATAAGGTGAATTCATATATCAAAGGTAATATTGATTTTTATTAGTCTAATATATAAATGTGATCATCGACTCATTTAACTGACTTCAATAATTTAATAAAATATATTATCATCGCGCAACGCACGATGTCAAAAACTAGTAAAATAGATTATTAAAATCGAGATGTGTCTCGTTCAAATTTATATTTTATTCAAAAATAAAATCATTATTGTTTTAAAAAAAACCACATAAAATCGTATTATAACATCGACAGAGGCAAATAATAACATAGAATATTAAAATCAAGATGTATCTCGCTATATTGCGTGAGTACTCTTCTATTATATATATATATATATATATATATATATCAGGTTTAGAAAAAAATCGTAAAGAACATTTTAATAAACATATTGATCAACTCTAATCCAACGATTAAAAACCATTATTAAAAAAACTAACTTCTTTTATTGAAAAGGGCATTTTCACCAATTGGATATTCATTAACATAAATACAACTCCTAAGTAAAGAAAAGTTACCAAAATTCAAGGAAATCTTCCATCATACTTCAAAAAGAATCTACAATTAAAATTTTTTTATTAGTATACTTCCATATATATTTCACAATCTTTAAAAAAAATATTTCACCATCGTTACTTTTGTTCTTCATTTTCTAATATTGTATCTACATATAAATGAGTCATCATATTCACTGTCTTTCATCTTTTAGACTATATGCACATATGAATAAGTGATCATATTTACCGTCTTTCAATTTCTCCGTTGCATGCACATGTAAATAAGTTACCATATTCACCTTATCTAATTATTGGTTGCATGCACATGTGAATGTATCATCATATTCAATGTCTTCATGTTTAGGGTTGCTTGTACATGTGAATAAGTTGTTGTATTCAAATTGTCTTTCAATTTCTCGGTTGCATGCACATATGAATAAGTCGTCATATTCACCGTCTTCATTTTCTAGATTGCATGCACATGTACATGTGTATAACACCTAGAATTAGGAGTGCTCAAAAACCCGACCAACCCGATCAATCCAACTCAACCCAACGCAAAATAACCCAACCTGAAGCAACCCCGATATCTAATCGAGTTGTAAAATTGTCAAACCGAGGTATTGGATTGATATTGAGTTACTATTATTTGAACTCAACCCAACCCGATGAACCCGATATCCTTTTATTTCTTGGATTTAATATGATTGTTGAATTTCTATTAATATATACATTAGACAATTACACTATCATGTATGCTTTTCATATACACATATTTTCAATCTATTCACATATCTATATAACTCATTCATATATATGTTCAGTAATTGTGAACTTATATATGTAAATTGAGAAAATTAACTGAATGTGATATACGTAAGAAATATGGATAAGTTGTATCAAATGGTTGATGATGAAAAAAAATTATAAGTAGAGAAATAACATATTCAATGTTAGAAGAATATTTTAATATACTAAAGTATCAACCCGACCAACCTGTACGGGTTGGGTTGGATTGCATTTTGGTTTGGGTTGGTTTAGGTTAAGATTTTTCAAACCACAAGCATTGGGTTGAGTTGTTCAAATGTCTTCAACCTGATTAACTTAACCAATGAGCACCCCTACCCAGAATCACAAACCTTTAAAGATGAATAACTGAATCCAGCAATGATATAAGAACAATTAATGAATGATTGAATCCAACATGTATATACATAAATTTTCAAAGAAAAAAACCAAAAAACAAAACAAAGGTTTTCGTTTGTTTACGTTGGGAGAAAAAGAAAAAAAGAATAAATTTTTGGAAGATTGCTGGACGTATGTATTCTATCATCTTCCATTACAGTTTACATGCCCAATTTTAGACCCTTATTTAAATTTCCTTCAAATTTTGATTTATTTACAAGTATGCCACAATCATAGCGACCCTTTATTTTTCATTCAACATTTGCTATAATATTTTTTTGTTTTTTGTTTTTTTGTATTTTGCCCCTCGACTTTCCTCCCCCACCTACCTACCCCCTCTCTCCCTATATATATATATATATATTATACAGGGAAGAGTTTAAACGAGAATACTTTTATTTTACGAAAATATGATAATACTCTTTTACTATAAACAATCACATGGGATACCATTATTTCATGACATATGATACACATGTAATACTAAATCAGAGATGCGGGTGATTTTCGATGCGATCTTAGTTGTAGGCTAGATCGTCCTTACACTACTAAGCCCCCTCACAAATATTATCACATGCAATAAGGTTGTTGTTGATATGATACTATAATTCATCAAGATCATCACATGTGATGCTAAATCATAGACGCAGACAACCTTTGGCGCAACCTAAGTCGTAGAACACGTCGTCCGCACATCACAGGATCCCCTCACGCGTATCATTACATGTGATAAGGGTGTTGACGTGTTCTCGTAAAATGAAGGTGTTCTCGTTTGAACCTCCACCTATACATACATACATATATATATACATATACATACATACATATATATACATACATACATATATATACATATATATATGTATGTATGTATATATATATATATATATATATTCAAATGAGAAACACAAAAATGTTGAAGATGGAAAAAACAATCTCAATCATTAGTTTATAATTTTAATTTTTCAAATTTTTTTCACTAATTAATAACTACGAAGAAAAAAAATCACATATCCCTAATTCATCTCCTATTTTTTATATAACATTTTTGGATATTGATAATTTTCAATTTTTACCCAATTTTCCACCTTACAATTTTATGATTTACAAACCGAATTAGATCTCGTGCCAGCTTCAACTTTAACAAAAAATAGACTGCAAGTCTCTGATTCACGAGATGTTTTTTATAAAATCCTGAATAAGACAGCCAATAGAAGTATACGACGAACCGTCCTCTGCCACCGCCGCTCTGCTCTTTTCGCTCATCTCTTTTGCTCTTGTTCTGATGGTGTCATCCGCCATCAGCCGCCTTATGCCGCCCTCTATCTCATCGGCCGTCACTATGTCCATGTCGGCCTTAGGATTAAACAAATTCTTCATGTAATCCATTTTAATCTCCACCGCCAATCCCAGCTCCACCACCATTTCAAATGCATTCATCTGTTGCTCGGCATACATTGGCCATGCCGCCATGGGTACACCGAACCATAAACTCTCCAACATCGAGTTCCACCCGCAGTGGGACACAAACCCCCCGATGGCAGGGTGAGCCAGCAACGCCACCTGTGACCCATGGAATAGTTGTTAGAAGAGGTCTATATGACATTTTACAAGTGAGCAACAAAAATCTTGAAAAGCAAAAAATGACGGTCTCTTTTTGGAATGTTACAGCTGTTCGGTCAAATAGAAAACGGTCATATTCAGTCATGGTTTTGGGTTAACCATTTAACAAGTTAACAGGCTTTGATCGGGACTTCTTTTTAACCTATCCCTAACCGGTCCCTGGTTCGAAATCATGGACCAAATAAGGTCTTGCCCTATAACCGGTCTTGGGTCAGGACCCGGGTTCAAAAATCAGTAAAGCTTTGTCTTTCATGTCTACCTGAGGAGCCCACCCGATCACTTTCCCAGTTCCTGCATTCCGCTCCATGAATCCTTCCGGTAACACCACTCTTGGATCCTCGAAATCGCTAGGATTCATGATTGTTGTTTCTCCTACCGGAGGTCGACGTAGGGACCAAACGAAACTGTGGCCACTCCGCTCTAGAGCATACGCTATCTCCTTCACTTGGACCTCCTCAAAACTTCCCATACTCCCAAAACACAAGAACACCACCGAGGACGGCGGTTGACCGTCCAACCACCTCTTCACATCATCGTCCAACGGTTTTCCGGCACCACCTTCTAGATTGAGTAGTGGCCCCACCGGATATACAAACGGTACGCTGCTATCAGAAGACAACGACTTGATGGCGTGTGTTTCCAATTCTAAGAATGTATTGACCATGATTCCCTTGGCCTTCCTCAGTTTCTGGACTAACCTCATAACGAAGCTCAGCCCCTCTCTAGTCTTGACCATTAAAGGAAATACGTTTGTTGGAACCGGTTTGACAAAGCTTGGAACTGGTATCATAGCGTCTGAGTTGCTCAATTCGAAGACGTCTTGGTTCTGATCATCACAGAGTGACAAGATATACATTTGAAATCCAAGAAAAGCGGCATTAGAAGTGAAGAATACGTACGTTGGAACGTTAAACTCATCCGCCACATCAATCATGCTGGTGCAGAACATGTCGATGACGAACCCCGCGACCCGGGTGGAGCCCGGTTGACTCATCATGTCGGCCACAGCGCTTCTAACGTATTTACAGTGACTGTTGATGAACTCATGGAAGGAAGTCATGGGTGCTTTTGGGTCGCGAGATGGTGGGGTTTCATCTTGAGGGAGTTCAACGAAGGATACGCGATCCAAACTCTTCTTAGCCAACGACTCGATGTAGGTGGTGATGGCCGAGCCCAGACCCGAGCCAGGAGGCGGCTTGATGACAAGGACGGTTACGGAGAGGCGTTGGTCTCGATTCACGAGTAGTTTTGCGATCTCGACGGTGGACATGATATGACCGACCCCTGGTGCAGGGATGAATACCAGCTCTGCAACTGTATTCGCCATTTTCTTTTGGTTGATGGAATTTGTTTGAAGTTTATGTTATATTTATGTGCCGGTCTTTGTAGATAATATTATCATCTCGGTGCTGGCAGCAGTAAGACGTACAACGTTGAATTTTATGCTCACGAGGGGACCATTTTGAATATCACAATAATGTCCATGTCTTTGAGAATCGAGACCTCAAATGGCATCTTCCTTCTTCCCAAAAAGAAAACTCTTTAGTAACTGGGACCCATTCTAACCCATCCTCATTTCAGCCTGCATTTTTACACCATACCATTGTGATAAGGAAGCTACAACTATTATATAATAAAAAATAATAAATGTTTTAAGATTTTAATTTGATATAGGTAATTTAATAATTTATCAATTTTGTTCTGGTTTATATCGTACCAAACATGAAACAACAAGTTTTTGTATTGTAATATACAGTCCTGTTTTGATAGGCATACTGGACGTATTATAACCTTAAATGAGCAGTTCAGATGGAATCAAACTTCCCACTTTCTTGGGATCTGGGAGCTATTGATGAAGACATCACATCTCTAGATCCCATTGAATTTCATTCGAAGAAGTATCATGATGAAGACCGTATAAATTGTTTTTTCTTGAACCAGGGATGTCTGGGCCATTTCGATTTTTCTCATAAGACTCTCAAGATAACAGTAAGAAAAATCCTCAATATCCCTTGAGAGGCTCGAACCAATGACCGTTGGGAGGAGCCCAAGTCCTATCATTTATTTGTCAATTGAGCCTAACTTGACCGTATAGATTCTCACCAAAGAGAAATGGTATTAAGCAAAGTTGTTCAAAGAGGTATAACCATGTTTAATGATCCCCTAGAAATTGATGGTCACAGTTTGGATATAAGAAGATAATGCGTCTTATAGACACCCGTAACAACAATGAACAAACCATGAAGATACACAGTCCAACTCAGGAGACGTTTCTAATAAAATCCTGAATGAGACGGCCAACAGAAGCATACGATGAACCGCCTTCCGTCACCGCTGCTCTGCTCTTTTCGCTCATCTCTTTCACTTTTTTTCTGATCGTGTCATCCGCCATCAGCTGCCGTATGCCATCCTCTATCTCATCCGCTGTTACCGTCACTATCTCGGCCTTGGTGTTAAAATGCGCATTCCCCGTATAATCCATTTTAATATCCACTGCCAATCCCAGCTCCACCACCATTTCAAATGCATTCATCTGCTGTTCGGCGTATATTGGCCATGTTGCGGTTGGTACTCCAAACCACAAACTTTCCAACATTGAGTTCCACCCGCAGTGGGACACGAAGCCTCCCACGGCATGGTGAGCAAGCAACTTAACCTGTGGAGCCCACCCGATCACTTTCCCGATTCTTGCAGTGCGCTCCAGGAATCCTTCCGGCAACACCACTCTTAGGTCCTCGTAATCACTCGGATTGCTGTTTGGTGTTTCATTCGATGGAGGTCGACGTAGGGACCACACAAAACGGTGGCCACTCCGCTCCAAAGCATGTGCAATCTCGTTTACTTGGACCTTCTCAAAACTTCCCATACTCCCAAAACACAAGAACACCACTGAAGATGGTGGTTGACTATCCAACCACCGCATGACATCATCGTCCAATGGTTTTCCGGCACCACCTTCTAGGTTGAGTATCGGCCCAACCGTATAAACAGGTGGGATACTGCTGTCAGAAGACAATGATTCAACTGCATGTGTTTCCAATTCCAAGAATGTATTTACCATGATCGCCTTGGCCTTTCTCAGTTTCCGGGATAACCCAAGAGCTATGTCCAGCCCTTCTCTAGTATGCATGATGGAAGGAAAGACCTTTGTTGGCACCGGCTTGATGAAACTTGGAACTGGTATCATAGCACCCAAGTTGCTCAATTCAACATCTTGGTTCTGATCATCACAGAAGATTTCGAGGTACATCTTAAAGCCAAGAAATGCGGCATTAGAAGTAAAGAATACGTAGGTTGGAACGTTAAACTCATTCGCCACATCAATCATGGCTAGGCAAAACATGTCGATGACGAACCCAGCGACCCGGGTGGAACCCGGTTGAGTCATCATGTCGGCCACGACATTTCTAACATATTTGCAGTGACTGTTGATGAATTTATTGAAGAAAGTCATGGGAGCTTTCGGGTCGCGGATTGGCAGAGTTTCATCTTGAAGGAGTTCAATGAAGCATATGCGATCTATAGACTTCTTAGCCAATGATTCGATGTAGGTGGTGATAGCCGAGCCAGAACCCGAGCTTGGAGGCGGCTTAATCACAAGAACGGTGATGGAAAGTTTCTGATCTCGATTCACTAGCAGTTTTGCGATCTCGATGGTGGACATGATATGACCAACCCCTGGTGCAGGGATGAATACCAGCTCTGCAACTGTCTTCGCCATTTCTTTTGGTTCATGAATTTTGAAGTTCATCTTCTGTTTATGGTTTGTTTATATCATTGAACCTCCTGGCCATGGGAACCATCCCAAGACTCGTGGATGAATTGAAACCTCAAATGGCATCTTTTCTTCTGCAACAAAGACAAAATGAAGTACTAGGACCATTCATACCCATCTTCACTTCACAGTACATTTTTGCACCATACAAATATTATCCACAAACTAGAACTATTATATAGTAAAAAAGAATTGCAAATAATGAGCCCACATGCCAGCTATTTCTCTCATGAACATCCCACTGTCGATAAATTAAGTTGTACCGAAGCAATCATGTAGGATTTGGTCACGAACGTTCAAAGAGGATATGATTATAATTGATCAGGCAAGATAGAACTGAAGTTTCAACCAATCTGGGTACCTGGGAACTATTGATGAACACATTGTATCTCAGGATCCCATTGAATTCATTCAGTATACCTGAAGAGAATATATGCTTCATCAGGAGGATGTTTCAATAGAGAGCTTCTATCTCTATCATCGACAAGTTGGAGAATCACCCATGTTCGCACAGATTTATGGCTGAGGCACCAGCCTGCAAAGATAAGATGTGTTAGGATCGACAATCACACATGATCGATGAATTGCATACAACAAAAGACATAGTACCTATATCCATGTTCATTTCTAGCATTCTTGTTATTCACGTCATCACTTGAATGCAGTAGTACATTCAGGAAAAAGAACATAGTAACAAGAATCCAGACATAAAAGGATAAAGACAAATAACCTATCTATAATAATGATGTTACTTTACAAAAGGGGTGATGTGTATTGCAATAAATTGCAAGAATATATGAAATCAATCACATGATTTTGTTACAAGTGATTTACTAAATGAGATGAAAAGGTTTCATGACTTGTATACCTGGCTCATGTTCATAGAAGTCTAAAACAATAAACAAGAAATGGAGACAAATGGGCAGACTGAAGAAATAAAGATTTAAACTAGTTCAAGATGGTTAAAAAACGAACCCTTAAGAAGTTGTATAGGGATAAGCAAAGATAGCTAGGCTAGTCAACTTGAACAGCATTTCTTGGAACTGTCCTCTGTAGGTTTACAAAAGCTAAATCCAAAGGCGCTATTCTTTACATAGGGTAATTTTTGGCATTAAAGAAAACTAAATCATCAAACAGTATTATTCGTACAACTCCGTGGATGGAGGAAAGAGAAGTTCTAAGAAATCCAAAGGAATAACTTCTCTATACGAGTGTGTTTCTTACTATTAGCAAAAGCAACAAAAAGAATGAAAAGATTAACTCATAGAAGTGGATAGATGCACCTGATCTCGATAGTTGGAACCAGGCATATCTGAGTTGGCTCAACAATCTGGTCTAAATCCAATGGATACCAGCATCAGCAACATTCTAGTACATTTTGCTTCAGAAGATGGTGCACCATGTACCGCTCTCCACCGTTGAAAATACACAAGAGACGCAAGAGAAGTATTACAATATCGTATTTGAAGAACCCCATATCTCATAAAAACTAGAATCATCTACAGCGCATCACATGCTCCAGTTTACAAAGAATCTATAAGGGAGTGTTTGGTTCGCTTTTTGGAGTGAATGGAATATGTAAAAAGGAATTGGAATTGAATAGGTTTGACCATGAGTTTGGTTGGTAGGAAATGGAATGAAATATGTCAAAGGAATTGAAATCTGTCTGTTTGGTTAGAATATAACTCAAGAGTTGTAATGAAATGATGTTAAATGACCAAAATACCCCTTTATGACATTTCCGTACATTATTGTTCACCCCTTGGACTATCCAACCTCTTCCTTCATGTCGGTATCCAGAACATCCAGCATTTGATATATCTCATCACCATTAGTGTGATTTCTGTCCCTCGACTTGAAATAGTCTATACGACCAGTATTATCAATCCAACTGCAGCCAGTTTCCTTCACCATTCCTTTTTCATACATTTCTTTCCTTAGTCTGTCAACAGACTCCCAGTTTCCTTCCTCTGCATATATGTTCGATAACAATACATGATAACCTGCACTTTTATTTCCCACACCCATCTCAAGCAATTTTTCGGCAACAACTTTTCCCAATTGAAATTCTCCATGGATTCGGCAAGAACCCAGAAGTGATCCCCAAATTCTCAAAACATTACCCTTCTCCCCCAATCCTTTAACAAACTCATAGGCTTCTGACACCCTGCCAACTCTCCCTAGCATGTCTACAACACAACAATAATGCTCAAGTGAAGGTACAATTTTATACTTCACCTCCATTGATTCAAACAATTGAAGGCCTTCATCCACCAACCCAGCATAGCTGCAGGCACACAGAACTGCCACTATCGTTACAGAATCAGGTTGTATGCCGCTTTCTCGCATCGAATTAAATAGATCAAGAGATTTTTTACCCATCCCATGTTGCCCATAACCCATTATCATATTTGTGTATGTTACGGCGTTTTTCTCAGGAGAAAGAGAAAAGACATTTTCTGCGAATGCAATTATACCCAATTTAGAGTACATGTCCACCAAAGCAGAATGCACGAAAACGTTATGATCCAAGACTCTCCGTATAGAAAATGCATGGACTTGTTTGCCTAATCTTGCATTACCAACTAAACTGCAGCCTGGAAGGATTGATGCTATAGTAACAGTATTTGGCGGAACATTGTGTACAAGCATTTGCCTGAAAACACCGAAAGCCTGCTCGATTAGCCCGTTCTGACAGTTGCCACCAATCATTGCATTCCATGTGGCTTGATCTCTACCATGTAAGCAACTTCTCTCAAAGAGATTTTGGGCCACTCTTATCAGACCAGACTTTGCATACATATCAATGAGATAACTTTCCATTCCCTCAAATTGAATATCATGCCTAAGAAGATAACCATGGGTTTGTTCCCCAATTTCCTGGTTTCTGAGATTGGATGCTGCGGATAGCAGAGCAGATATTGTTACATCATCAATCAGAAACCCCTGCTTTTGCATATCGTGCACAAGCATCAAGCTTTCGTCATTCATCCCATTCTGCACAAAAGAGGAAATCATGGTGTTCCAAGAAACGAAATCTCTTTCATTCATACTGTTGAAAATTTTTGAGCTTTCTTGAATGGAATTACACCTGGAATACATAACTATAAGTGCATTCATCACGATCGTGCGTAAAACAGGCAAACTTTTTATGATATAGGCGTGTAGCTGCTTAGCAAGGTCCAGGTGCTGCAACTGTGAGGCTGCTGTTGAAGCCGAGATCAAAGTCACATCATCAACAGCAACATCATCTGATGCTTGAAGAGCTTGATTGAAAAGATCTAGTGCTTCAACGGGCAAATTGTTCTGGACATATCCACCAATCATAGTGTTCCAAACTTCTATATTCCTTTCTAAACTATTATCAAATATCTTCCTTGCAGATTCAAGAGAACCAAGTTCAGCAAACATAGAAATAGCAGAGCTTGTAGCAAACATATCTCTAGAAAACTCATCACCCAACTTAACAAGCAATCCATAAACAACATCAGCAGTCTTAGAATCACCTATTCCTGCTACAGCAGGGAACACGTTAACAAAGCTTACGATGGTGGGTTTAAGTCCCGACTTCATCATTTTTACAAAATGGCGAACAGCTTCTGCGAACATTCCCACCCTCACATACCACGAAATCAAAATGTTCCACGAAATGACATTCCTTTTTGGCATTGATTCAAACACCCTTTTCACATCCTCATGCAAACAACTGGCATACATGTTCAAAAGAGAATTACAGACTATCCTACTAGGATACAAATGTGACCGTAAAATATGACAATGAACCGCTTTACCTATGCGTAGACTTCGAGTTTCAGCACAGGCTTTAAGAGTCGAAGAGTAAGTATAGGAATCACATAGAAAAGAGTTGGATTTCATTTGGGAGTAAAGGAGTATAGCTTCATGAGGCATGTTATTACATATGAATCCAATAATGATCGAGTTCCAAACAACGGTGGTTGGTTGGGGAATTTCATCGAACAGTTGGCGGGCAAGATGGGGTTGGCCTTCTCGACATAATTGGCTAAGACGGTATCGAATTGTTCGAGGTTTTGGATGTGGGTGCAGCTGATCTTTGGTCCAATGGGTATGTGAAGGTGGTTGTAATGAAGAAGCATGGAGTGATTGACGAGTGGGGGTTGAAGAAGAGTTCAGGGAGAATGGAAGAGACGATGACATCGGAAGGCGTATACGTGTACTTGCACTTACAGTCATGGAGTCATAGTTTAAAGAGATAGAATACATGGCGTAGGCATAGCTCATCTGAATTTGAGGGCATTTTTGTATGGATTTTGTAAGTTTCTCCATACAAAAATTGGTGTCAACTGTCAACCAATGAAATATTCTTTTTATATTTTTAAATTAATCGGAAAAACATTTGTTTTCTTTTAATCTTTTTATTAGATTTATTTGTACTTTAACTTTCTCATGTTAACAGAAAAATCTCGAATCTCAACAAATGTGTTATTGCTCCTGAATTTATAATCTAAATATTCAAACCATAATAAATAGAAGAATTAAATGGCATGATGTAAAACATACCTGATATGTCTACTGGACTAGAGCTGTAACATTTACAGATGACATTCTGTTTGAGAGTGCAACCATCAACCGTTGACACTAATCATTGGTAAGTTCATGTACAATATCATTGAGTCCAGTAGATTTAAAGTTGCCACCAGGTGGAACACTACTATTAACCACACATTCAGAGTTGATGACAGTAGAATGAGAAACAAAGTTAACTACTGTTGCATTGGTAGGCTGCTGAAACTTGTAACCATGAGGGAATCCATATAGGCTATAGCATATATCTCGAGTACGCCCACTTTTGTTACAATGTGTACAGTATTGAGACTGGTCCCTTCTCAAGTCCTTACGAGTTTGATTAGTCTCGAAATGATGAAAAGGAAAAATTCCTTCACGAAAAACATCCTGAGAGGCAAAAATCGTTCTTGTTTCTGAATCTAGCATTCGATAAGTCTATATATTTTTTGATATCCTAAAAATACGCAAGGCTTAGAACGAGGTTCAAATATAGTTTGATGAGAAGGAGTAGTAGAAGCAAATGCTAAACAATTGAAAGCCTTGAGAGAGGAGTAACCTGGGTAGTCTCAAAACAATTTCTGATAACGAGACTCATTGTCTAGTACACGAGAGGGGTCTTGTTTATTAAATAAACACCTGTTAATACACATTCAGACCAATAGTTTGAAGGAATTTAGATTGGAAAAACAAGGCTCTAGCAGCATTCAATATATGCTGGTGTTTCCTCTCCACAATAGAATTCTGTTGTGGTCTCTCTACACAAGAAAATTGATGTAACACCCCTCTCTTGTGAAAAAATTCAGTGAAACATTATCTGATCTAAACTTTTTGATTTTTACACCAAACTATTTGAGACCCATGTCAAAGAATGTGGGTATCGCTATCTAAACCTCACATCTACGTCCAATCGAAAATACACATGTAAACCTTGTGCAATCATCAACTAACGTTACAAAGTATTTGTAACATTGATGGGATTCAACGTGATACGGTCCCATATATCACAACGCAATATATCAAAAGGTTTTAGTGAAAATCTTATTAAGACAAGCAAACAACAATTGTTTCTGTTTTGCCAAAGAGCAAATAGGGCGCACATGCTCATCTTTAGTCAAGGTGTTTCCAATTGACAATCTATTGCCAACCAAAACTAAGAGGATGTTTACCAAATTTTTTAGGTAAGTGCTGACTGAGATAAGAGGTCTGATTGGAAAAAAGTTACTTTTCGTTAGATTTTTAGTTTTCTTATTGTAGCCGGAGGTTTTTATTTTTTGTTGATGTGAAAGTGATGAGTTGTAGGGTAAAATTGGAATGGTGCCTCTGACTCAAGTAAGGAGTCCCTCTACCTCTTACTCTGGAAAGAGGGAGGACGATCGAAGATGAAAATATGGTAAGAGGTAAACCGTAGACCTCCTCGTTTCTTACCCTTGTCAATCATCTTCTTGTTGTTGATTTGTTGTATCAAAGCAAGATCATGACTAAGTTGTACCATTCTACCCATATCCCCGGTTAAAGCACTTATATATATAAGATTAAATTGAAACATAGGCACATAAAGCACATCTTTGAGAAGAAATTGATCAGTAACTTGAACATCACCATTGCGGATGACAATATACTCTGATCAGGTAGAATTACTTTCTTATTATTCACCTCATAAAAGTACTATTGTTGTCCGCAATGTTGGTATGTTTGAGAAAATGTAGTAAAAATATGTTATAACCGGTTCATCGGTTATAAAATTCGAGGTTGTTTGAAGAAGAAGTTGAATTATGTGATTTATTAGTTGAATTGTTGTTGTTTGTCTACATCTCGCTGTGATTTTAAGGTGAGTTTTATGTTATAAATTTTTCTTTTTTAGTATGAATAAACAGAACCGTATGATTCCTTATGTGGAGAAGTTTTGAAAACTCTTATTATTCTATTTTTAGCATAATATTGCATTTTGATATGTTAACATCAAATGATTAGAATAAGAATGGCATAATCGGGAGATGTGTATTTTTGGATATTATGGTGACGTATTCAAGAGATGTGTATTTTGAATATCAGGGTGACATAATCAGGAAATGTATATTATGGTTATAAGGGTGACAAAATCAAACTATATGTGAAAACTGGGTTTTTAATCAATTTGACAATCTGTTTGTCGCATCTTTATGATGTGATGACCTTGAGTTGTCGCATCTCTATGATGCTATGACTTGGGTTTATCGCATCCTATTGATGCGATGAGTTGACTTTATTGCATCATTCTGATGCGAGAAGAGTGGTTGTCTCATCCTTGTGATGCAACAAGATTAACTTAGCGTGTCTTGTTGATGCAACAAGTTGGGTTTATCGCACCCAATATGATGCGATGATATGGGTTCTCGCACCAGTGTGTTATGAGGAAATGGGATTGTCTCACCAAATGTGATATGAGAAAATTATAATTTTATCTATATGATGCGACAAGTTTATGTGTTATGCGATAAAAGGTATATTTGATTATTGTTGCGATAAATAGGTATTGTCTCATCATTTTAATCAACAAAAAAAGGTTTGTTTGATAAAATGTTGTTTATTTATTATTATACAAATATAAGTTTTATAAAAGTGTTTTGGTAATTTTCATTCTGTAATAGCAATCAAAGGGATTTCTCACTAGACCTTAGGGTCTAACTCTCATTTTTGGTGTTTTAAAAATGTGCTTTATAGGTTGGGCACAATCAGATGATAAGGGGAAGGGGAAATTATGAAGATTATATGATTGTTTTTTGAGATGATATGATATCTTTTGTACTTGAATACTTGTTATGTATACAAGTTTTGTACTAAGATTACGTGGAAAATTTTGGTAGCTACTTTTGTAATGTAGCTTTTGAATATTTTGGGACCGAATGTGTAAAGTTGTATTTCATGATATATGAAATATATGTTTATATACAAATATGATTCTGGAGTGTTACAAAATATGCAGAAAAATTCAGCTTTCGCGCCTATTGTACTATCAAATGTCGACACCAAGCACTTTCTCAAATCTATGCCTAGAACAAAGTTGCTTTTGTTAAGTTTATCTTACCCTTATTTATTCTCTAGAATCCACACTTCAATTCCGTTAAGTGCGGTTAGTAGAAAAAATGTACCTTGTCAAAATGACAAACGCAATAATACTTTTGTATATGTAGGGGTTTTCACAGTTCGGTTAATAAGAAAAATGTGAACCGACTTAAGGTTGAACCAAACCGAAATAAGGTGGTTACTCACAGTTGCACGATCACCTGAATTTATAAAAAATATAAATATAAAAATAATACTAAAATATAACATTTAAATCAATTGCCCAACAAGTCAATTAAAAAAAGTCCAAGCCCTGCATATTAAAATAAGTTTAATTGTTTAAAAATATCAACTATTCAGTTGTAGTCGACTTCATCACTATTTCAGACCACTAAATTTAGTCATCCACCGTAATTGTTGATACAACTTGAGGTAAGTACGGTTCCGGTCGGGTACCTGTGGGTATCCATGTAACAACAGTGATTTTGTTATACAGTTACTTTGGACTTTAATTGTATTTTGACCAACAAAATGCCATTATTAAGTTCTTATGATAGGTACAAGTTGTTGATAGGAAGTCTTGCAAGATAAACCTTGAAAAGGAGCAAAACCGAGTGAGAAACAGTGCCTAGCGCAAGCTAGTGCGCGACTTAGGCCACGGCACAAGCCGCGTAAGCTTCTGTTGTGAGCTAGTAAAAAACAAAGGCTACCTTAGCACCACGACCCTAGAGTCATGAGCCAAGGTCGCATGAAACGTCCAGTGGGTAAAAGGGGCGGTTTTAGTAGGGTAAGCTCATTTTTCTCCTTACCTCTCACCCTCCTTCACTCTCTCTTCATTTACTCCGACCCTAGATAATTTAAGTTGCCATTTTAGTGATTTTTGGAGGCATATAAGAACATTGCGTGCAAATATTCAAGTTTGCTGATTGGAGCTTCAAGATCTCATCATTCACACCATTTTTCTAGATTTTTTGGTTTTCTTCAAAACCAAGTATTGTGAGTTCATTCTAACTTTTTTTTAAACTTTCATGCATGTCAAAATGTTATATTGTAGTCTTCTAAACATTCCCCTTGATGCATTCCACATATTTATGAGTTTTGACCAATTTTGGACATCTTTTGCAAAATAAAGAGTTGGCTTCCTTATACATGTTATAAAAGTAAACCGTTGGCATGTGAGGGTTATTTTGGTGCATTTTTTCTATATGATGATTATTGTCTATTTAGTTGATTTTTCAGAAATATGGGGATTTCCCTTTTATTCGCTAAACATTTTGTACCTTATAAATGATATATGAACCATCTTGACTAAATTATGAAATATTTAGAATTCACATGTCATGACGTTATCTATGAATGGACACATGCCATTGAAACCCATGAACCCTTTATTTGTTTGCTTATGAAGTAACCATTCTTGTGAACAATGGTTTTGGAGGATTTAGACCCTTTGGGAACTTATACTATTGAATTTTGGAAATAGGGACTTATCCCTTTTGAGAAATTAACGTGCATAAAAAAGTTTATGTACTTGATGTGGATTGACACATCTAGAATACTTCTGGTTATTAGACTGTAATGCAAAGAGTTGTTTTATGAGTTTCATGGGATAGTTGTTTAGATACGGATATTGAATCATCGTGGGATTCGAACAATAGATTGTGCGTGATTAAACTCGATGATTGTGTGACCTGTAATGGTTTGATTTTAGCGAATGAGCATATATTGGTTCATTAGAGGATTTGAACTACAAACCATAGGTGGTTGAACTCAATGACTAGTGTTTCATAATAGAAGCTCTACAACATAGATTCGTTGCCTACTTTTGTCTTCCTTCACGATCAATGAAAATCGGATATCCCCCTATCGTCGCAAGACGTATTGTTGATGTCATAGTCCTTATGATGGACTGCTTGGACCTTTAAATGCATAACATACTCATATTTTTTGTAAAACACATGACATATCTGACCATAATATATATATATATATATATATATATATAACATAATTGAAAATACTAAGTCTTATACTATTGCATGTATATTAGTTTCAAAGTCATATAAAACTCACCACTAGCTGGTGTTGGTAATGCTACACATTAGTCATTTTGTTAATATTGAACATCACATGTCAGTTGTCACTAAAGTAAACACAGACTGATCTAGTCAAAGTCAATTGGTCAAACGTCCAACACGACTTGCAAAGCGGTCAACAAGTGGCTTTCGACCTACACATGCCTATATGAGTTTTTTTATAAGACATATTCAGAACTGTCTTGGAAACACATCTTTTCATATGATACTTATTTCTTATTAGATACATGTTCAAAAAAATGTCATATAAAAATACAAGTATAACGTTTTATTTTAAAATTATCCTGAAAAACTTATATAGGATATTTAAAAGTGTCATATTAACTTATTGTAACACATTTATATAATGCACAACTTAAGTCCTTATGACATTTTATGTAAAACCCAAAAATTTCGAGGAATAAAATAAGGCATCTTTATTATTTCTATTTTATTTTTGAATATACATATATATATATATATATGTATATATATGTTAAATAAAAGTTAGAAATTTGAAATAAGTCAAATTTGTTTACGGCTGATGCTGAAGGCTCTAATTCGGGGGGGAGCCTGCTGCCAACTAGGGAGAAGCAGCAGAGGATCAGGCGGTGCCTGGTCCATAAGAGGAAACTGTGACCTGCATGGTTGCAGGCTGTGGAAGAGAGCAGTTCCCAGCCCAAGACTCGGGATTCTGCCGATTTGGTCAACTAATAGGCCAAATCGTGTGAGTATAAATTGAGGGCACCAGGTTAAGGTAGTTATTCTTTTGGGAGAAGACTGGAATCGTTGAGCTTGAAAGAGAGAAGCCAGAGTTCAAACCAGCAAGAAACCCCCTGCTTCCCGTCGTCTAGAGGTAAGCACTCAACCAATTTATGATTTAAACGATGTTTAGCTATGACTTTGGCCCTGTTTAGAACCCTAGAATGTGTTTTAGGGTTCGATTTCAAGAATTGGATTTCTTTTGTTAAACACGCTGTATCGCATCCTGCTTAGAAGCCGCCATAGAGAATGCTACGCAGAAGCTCTACATAAGAGCTCTATATCAAGTATGTTAGACAGAAACTCTGCATGAGAGCTTTGAGTTAGGCTAGCTAGAAGCTCTGCATGAGAGCTTCGTATCAAGTTATGTTATAGTGAAACTCTACAAAAGAGCTATGTATCAAGTTATGTTAGACAGAGGCTCTGCGTGAGAGCTTTGTGTCAAGTTATGTTAGACAGAGGCTCTACATGAGAGCTCTGTATCAAATTGTGCTAGACAGAAGCTCTGGAAGAAACCACAGAGGGGCTCTGGCCCTTGATGTTGGAATATTTCTTATAAGATTAGGAACCAGAGGCTCTGGTCGTGAGACCAGAACCTCTGGAAGAGAGACCAGAGGGGCTCTGGTCCTGAATCGCAAATATTTTCTAAGTGTGATTTAGAACCAGAGGATCGATGGACGTGTTACTAAATATTTTATAAGTGTGGTATACAACCAGAGGGGCTCTGGTCCTGAAGGACTTAAGAGCCCAGAGGCTCTGTCAATACAACCAGAGGCTCTGGTCGTCCACAGAGGCTCTGGTCAACCACAGAGGCTCTGGTCAACCACAGAGGCTCTGGCCCTCTCCAAGACTTAGCAAAGAGGCAGCCTTAGAGTTTCATCGTTAGCCCCGATGGCTTGATAAGACTTTTAAATAACAAACGAATAGTTGACCAATGTTGACCCTAGTCAACATAGTTAACCGTAAGTTGACTTCATGTTAGCCTTGGGAGAAATTATCATTTATGAACCATTCGCTATTATAAATTGTAGGTTACCAGTCAGCGCCGTTAAGTAAGCAATCGACATTATCAGGTGAGTCTTCATGAGACTTACAATGGGATGCATACCTAT